AGGCCAGGAGGGGGCTGGTGGAAAATAGTATCCTCACCAGGGGAAGGTTTAAATTCTCACCCTGTGAAACAAGACACCTTGAGAGCATGTTGATGGAGTGGGTGCTTTATGTGCAGGAACAGCTGAGACCCCAACAGCACGTTGCCCCAGAAACCCAGCTCAGGAGTGCCAATCCCTTGGTCACTACTGAGACGAGGTACACAAACAACGGGCTGGACACCTCCTGGCAGACAGGAGCCTGCCGCTTCCAGCAACCGCTCTGTTGACATAAACATGGGAGTGTCCAGAGCTTTGGCTGGGTAGGAGCCGGGAGCCAAGGGTTTCCCAGAGTCTGAGGTCGGGATCAAAGAAAGGACTAGAATCACAGGGGAGGTCAGGATTTTCATTATCCTCCTATGCAGGACACAACGTTTGGCTTGCCATGCAGAATACATTGCTCTGGGCCAAATGGTGACACCTGGGACTTCAGTCCTGGCCACCTTGGTTCTCCATTCCAGTGGCAACTCTCAGAACTGCCTGACTCCCTTTGCGGTGTCTTTGAAGAAAGTAACCTGATAAGAATCATACACATTATGGTGACTAATAGTATTCCTCTTTGAAGAGGTGTTTGCAGAGTCCAAGAACCTGCTGAGAGAAAGCAAGAAACTTAACAATCAACTTTTGAGAAGAGAATTTCCGCCCTTAGAAATGTGTTGGAGTGGGTGCAGGTGAAGGGGAGAGGGGTTTTTCTGGTACTCCCCCGAGCAGATAATTTCCAGGGGGACCTGGGAGATATAGACACAAGAGGGACGAATGAGGCTGAGTAGACACGGCAGAAGTCCCTGGGGTGACAGAGAGGCTGCTCCTTGCTTGCATGCTAGGAGAGGGGCCTCAGTGCGTGAAGGGTCCTTGTGAGCCAGGAAAAGGGCAAGGGTCTCTGTGGACTCTACCTGAAGATGAAAGAGGGCGTCCAGACGTGAGGGGGTCCCATCCAAAGTCAGGCTTTTTTTGGATGGATAATATGTAAGCCACTATGGAGGAATAGTCATAAATCCTTAAAACAAAAGTGTCTTGTGCTTGTTTTTTGGAACTACAAGAAAGGGGACCTCTGGGAAGACTGAAATTGGGCTTGGGTGCAGGGGAACCCTAGGTGATAGAATGGATGGTGGCCACTACAAGGGAAGACAGACTTTGGAGCCCTGGCCAGGACTGACAATACATGGGGTGGCGGGGGGGCTTCCACTACAGCATCACCTCTACCTGCCCATAGGGAGGAGGGGCCAGAGAGGCATAGAGAAAACATCTCCTGCACCCTGCCCCACCGTCAGCCCCACCAGCCTTTGTCTGCTGGGTATACTCCTACCAGTCTGCCCTCCTCACCTCACCTCTGGGCATCTCTAACCTGAAGATATCAGTAAAGGGATGAAGAGTGGAGCGTTCAGGGGAGGAAAGGAGAAACTAGAATACAGTAGAATGAGACACCCACCTTTAGAGTGGCTATTTTACCAGGTGCTGCTCCCAATCTCTCTAGATATTGGGTGGGACAGCTGCATGGTGGGAGAAGAGCTGTCTCTCCCCTACCCACCCAGTGAATCATCTTCTGACACATATGCCCACTCAGAGACAAATAGAAAACACTGCTCAAGGACAGAGAAGCACACACACATGATTTGGATGGTGGAGTCCTGGGACACATTTGGCAAAGGCAGGAGGCAGCTCTGACTCTATTTAGGCACAACTCGAGGTAACAAGAGAGGAGGGGCTGAGGACAGTGTGTGCTCCAGGCCAGGTTCAGGACTGGGAGGTCGGGGAGAGGAAGAGGCCCAGGCAGGCTGGGAGACTGGGGGATTAAAGCCTCCCACCCAGGAACCAAGGCGCTGGTGCACAGGAGGATTTTAAGGATGACTTTGGGGTCAGAGGATGAGAGTTTGGGGCTGGGATCCTGCCCTTTCCAGCTGTTTCTGCACAAAGTCAGGAAGTCTTTTGGTTTGGCTCAAGCCATGTCAGGTAGTCATGCTATTCCAGGGCTTGGGACACGGCCCAAATTGAGCTTCCTTCTAGGGCCAACTTTCCAAAACTAGAGGCCTCCAGCACCCTGGGTTCATAGCATGAGCTCACTCTGTAGGGGTCAAAGTCACATGATAGGAATGGTGCATCTTTTTGGAGGGTCAGTTTAACTTCTAGACTTAGTCGATAACATGAATAAAATTGGTAGCACATATGTATAATGCTTATATGAAATGATGATGGTAATAATGACAAATACCTCTAAGGTGTTCACTTATCTAGTAAGGTCACACAGCAATGGTGGAGCCGGGATAAGAACCCATGCGGTGTCACTCCCAAACCATCCTCAGTCAATATTTATAGATTACATTTATAAATTTACAACAGTAATATATATAAATGGAGCTATAAATTCAATTAAAACTAACTGAGGTGCAGACAAAGTCTTCATGAATGTGGAAGATACAGAGCCAGTGATTTTGTGGGTTTGGCACTGGCCAGGCTAGTCCACAGATCTGAGGGGCAGCTTACTCACTCTACTGGCTCCTAGAAGTTTGGGAGTACTGCTGGGTCTTGAAGCAAGGTGGGTCTCCAAGTGTCATATGAATCAGAACCATGTGTGCTTTATAAATGGGTGGCCTCCTGGGTTGCCCTTCTAGGATAGCTAACATTTGTTAAGCACTTTCTCTGTGCCAGACATCTTTTTACTCATTATCGCTTTTATTTTTCCCCCAAATTTTATGAGGTCCCCATTTTACAGACGAGGAGAATAAAGCACAGACAAAGCACAGTGAATTAAGTTGCTCTAGGTTACTAGTTAATAAATGACAGTCAGTATCCAAGCCTCGGATTTTCTGTCTCCAGGGCCAGAACTACAAACCACTGCACCTTTGGGGCCTCATTACTCCAGATAATCTGATTCCATGAGTCCGGAGTCAATGTCTTCAACCAGGGCTCCAGGAAGTCACCGGGCCCCACTTTGAGAAGCAACGTCCTATGGCAGCTGTTCTCAATCTGGCTGTACTTTAGGACCACCTGAGAAGTTTCAAAAACTATTAATGTTCTTCCTTTCCCTAAAGAGAGACTTTTTTAATTGGTCCAGAGTGGGGTGCAAGTGTTGGTGGGGTACAGGGCGGCGTTTATTTTAATGGGACAAAGCCTTCATTTAATCAATTAATCAACCAAACCAACATTCAATCAATCAATTGAGCAAGCTAGTATTCAGCAAAGATGTATAAACACCTGCTCTGTGCCCTGTGCTACACTGGGGCTGAAGATACAAAGGTGGGCGGGATGCTGTGTGTGTGCCCTCAGGAGTACGGGCGACCAACCTGCCTGCCGGGTAGGTGGGGTGGGTGCGGATTCGTTCTGGCTGTTCTTCCTTGGTGAGCTCTCGAACGAGCCAGGCTCCCCAGATGATGTCCTTCTGACTGCTCCCTCTGCGAGGTTCTGGGCCGCTAACTGAGAAGATACAGTTGGGTCCAACCCCAGAGCTCAGGTTACAGAAACACAGGTTGTTGAAGCAAAAGGGCTCCAAGAGACCCTCCATCCATGCCTGGAGCTCTCAAATGTTAGTGAGCGGCTGACCAAAATGCTGGGAGTTTGTTAAACCTAAAGATGCCTGGAACCCATCCCAAAAGTTCTGATTCCTAGGTCTTGGGGGGGGCGGTCTGAGGAATATGCATTTTTAATATGCTCCCGAAAGGCTCTGATACACAGTCAGCAGTGGCCCTCCGGGGCCTGTACTCACTCCCCTAGGAAGTTTTATAAACACTGATGCCTCCGAGGCCCATCCCTGGGGAGCCTGGTCAATATTTTTATTTTTTATTTTTATTTATTTATTTTTTTAATTTATTTTTTTTATTGTTCAAATACATTTGTTTCCATTTTCCCACCACCACTTTCCCCTGCCCACCCACTATTTTATCTTAATCCTCATCCAAGGGTATATTTATTGATTTCAGAGAGAGAGAGACAGACTTCATCATTTGCTGCTTGTATGCGCCCCAACCGGGGACCAAGCCCGCAACATTTTGGTGTACAGGATGACGCTCCAACCAACGGAGCCACCTGGCCAGGGCCTGGTCAGTGTTTTTAAAAGTTCCCAGGGCAAGGCGCCTGGGCCTTCCTGCTGGCCTTGTTTAGGATTTGGGGCAGTCACCACTTGCTACCATTAGGACTCTGAAACAATAGGAGATGAAAAGAAGAGGTGCGAAAGACTGAAATAAAAATGCCAACGAGAAGATTTACAAAGACAAAAGCAAGAGAGAAGCCTGGACAAGAAGGTGCCATCGAATTCACTCGTCTGCACCAAGCTTTACATCTCCCTTTTTCACATTTTTTCTCATTATAATAGTTATTAATTGAAGTGAAAAACTAATAGGATGAGTATATGAAAACAAAAAAGATCTATAATATTACTTATAATAATTACATAAAGCCTTAGTATGGCATATATGATGTATAATGTATATCTTATAACCATATTATATAATAAACATGGTTATTAATATAATTAATATAATATCAATTGAGGTCGGATTTGAGAGGGAATGTGAATGGAGTGGAGATGGTGCGTGACCCTTCTCGTACATGTGTTCACACCTGCATCCCCATGTGCACACTCACACACATGCACACTCACACATGTGGACACACTTCTAGTCCCACTCTGCGGCCCTGGACATCATACACTCAAACTCAAACATACCCTTCATATCACAGCCTCAAACTTAGCATTTTATTAATCAATATTACTAAATTAATATTTATTAATACAGAATTTATTACCTTACATTAAGTATAAAATAATTTTCCTTCCTCTTTCTCATTTCTCTAAATTCTTGTGAACAGTGGCACAAGGGGACCTAGGACAGTGGGCACACTGGGGTGAGTCACCTTCATGACTCACCAATCCCTGGCCACCTCCTCCTCCCCCAAGAGCCTCACAGCCTGCCTGCAGTCTCTTCCACCCCTCCCTGGCCTTCCTCCTCCTTTTCCTGTGCCCTGGAGCCTCAGTCGCTCTTCTCCGCTGTGGGCTGAGGCTGGTGCTCTGGACAAAGGCTGTCCCTCCACAGGTGGTAGGCGATGGAAGCGGTGACGGTGAGCCAGGCCAGGTAGGGCAGCAGAAGCAGGGCAGCCAGCTTGTTGATGGGGTGCCAGATCAGCGCTGTGCTCACTACAAGCCCATAGAGCAGCAGCAGGTGCAGCAGGGCCTGGGCCGGGGGCAGGGCAGTCAGGCAGGCTGACCTGAGTGCCGGACCCCCTACCTTTCTGCAGCACCCTGGACCCCATGAGCCACGTTCCTGGGACTCTGTGCACTCCACTGGAGTTCAGAAGAAGTCTGCCCACCTGACGTCTGCCTGCCCCTGACTGAGCTGCTGTGCTGCCTACTTCTGGGGCCTGGTGGTCTCACCGGCTCTGACATTACCTCCACTGCTGAACGCTGCACCTTACCAGACCAGTGGAGTGGGCTGCGAAAAAGAGAATCAGGGCGGTCCAGCTGATAGCGAGCTGCACAGCATAGAGGCCAAGAGGAAGGGCCAGGGGTCGCCCGAAGCCCCCTCCCAGGTCCTTCCACACCAGGTAGGAGGCATAGCTGTGAAGAGATGGTGGCAGAACACTGAGAGGGAGGATGTTCCATGGCAAATGGAGGAAGCCCTCTGGCATAAGGACTCCTGGTTACAAAGAGAGAACCCTTGTGGGCTGCAATGAGGGAAAATGTGTCTAAGCATCATTTGAGGGCCGAGAAGAGATGGTGGGAGCAGTTGGGCATGGTGAGATGGGGGAGAGGCAAGGAAACTTGGAGAGGACTGGCTGGAAGCCTAGGCAGACACAGAAGGAACCCACCATATTAGGCAAGATAGAGTGCCAGCCCTTTGGAGGTCAGTATGCAGCAGTAGTTTAGGTATAGGGGGACTTGTTCCCATTCCAGTGAGTACCAAGGCCGTGGCATGGGAAACAGGTGCTTACCCCATGACAGAGTAGATGGTTGTCCACACAAGCAACAAGGCTTTGTAGGGTGGGCACCAGGGCAGGATCCTCAAGCCGTCACACCAACCAGACAACGTATTTGGGACAAGGAGACCGACAAGGATGGGTCCCAGCTGGGGCAGGGCCACAAATATGATCCCTTGAGGCCACATTCTATTTACGGAGGCAAAATCTGGGGGGGAGGGCAGAGAACATGCTCATGGTGAGCCTTACCTTTAATCCTTTCCTTGGGTCTACTTGTCTGTCTCCTCCTATCTAACACTATTCCCTGGCCTGAGCACCCGTCACCCTCATAGGAGGTCTGGGCATAGAGGCTTTCTCCCTGCTTGGACCATCTCCTGTCCCACTCCTTGCCCCTTTTCTGGTTTCCATGGATTGATTTTTCCCATACCTCTCATTTGGCACTCAGAAGATACTGTTCAGTATTGATAACTGCATCTGAGGTAAAGGTTCCTCTCCCTCAATGAATATGTGATTCCTGGAGCTCAGGTCCACATATGACCATATTTTGTACCTCCCACAGCAGGCAGCACTTGGCCAGGCCCTCGACAGGAGCAGTGTCTTAGGCTGATCTCAACAAGCTGACATTACCGACCTGGAAGAACCATGCTCAAAAGGCGGGAGCCTGAGGTCCCTGAGGGTCTTTTCTAGTCAACAGTGGGCCAGCCCTTCTGCCCAGGGCTTATCTTACTACACCAGACTGGCAAACCCCAGGGGCCCAGCCAGTCTGAGCTCCTGCCTGAATTCAAACTCAGCTGAGTGACACTGTGGGTTCTTTTCTCTGAAACCTTAGGTCTCATCTTACCCTCAGGGCCTGTGGAAAGTTCTTCCTACACCTATCCACTTCCAGAGGTTAGGTGCCACAGACACACATGCCCAGATTTCTCATGGGCTGATTTTTCAAGGAAATAAATGTCTGATCTTTGATTAAGAAGCTACATGCTCACTTGCATGTTGTTGTGAATGCCATTCCCATGTGGGTTGATGCACAGACCCTCCTCCAGCCAAGGCCCCCACCCCATATCATTCTTCTCATTTGCATATGATATGTCAGCCTCCTCCTCATGATTGACAGCATTGGGAAAAAAAAAGAATGGTTATTCTCTGTTCTGAAGTGACCAACTGTCTACTGCATGCTTGTCTGTCAAGGGCCTCTGACCATGTCTTGGAAGTTCCAGGGACAGGGCTGATCAGCCTGCCTGCCTGTGCATCCTTCTATTTATCTTTTCCTGCTCTTCACCATCTATTTGTTCATCTTCCGCATTCCTGTCTGTCTCTCTCTGTGTTTCCTATTATTCTAACCAGTGTTGGAGGCCTGCCTCACCTTCCCACCCCCATCCTCTTTCCTATTCTCCACCATTTCCAGTGCCTCCTTATTCCTAGGCCTGTGTTCCCCTTACCTTAGGCAGCACACCTCCCAGACTGGGCACCTGATGATCTATGATGTGTGAAAGGCAGAGGAGGGTGGGGGACGGGGGAAGGGTGGAGTGGGGCCCCCAGCTGGCCCGCCCTTCTTCAATGACAAGGATGGTGATATTGGCTCAAGAGCGCGAGTTGTTGTCTACATGGCCCTGAAGGGCTCTCTCAGTTCCTGGCCTGCTGGTTGTGGTCCCTGGAGGAGCCCCTTAATGGTTGAGGCTTTGGCATTGTGAGACCCAGATATCCTGAGACAGCTCAGCTCCAGGTTGCAAGTTACTCATTTCTTTGATCTCTGCATCATGTGAGCCAGCTTTGTGTCTGCAGGGGTGGCGAGGACCCTCAGATTTGGTGAGGGACACTCAGATTTCTTTAGAACTTTCTCCTGTAACTGGGATTGACCCCAAGCACCAGCTTTAAAAATGAGTTCATAATACATGGACATGACCCCTGGTTATAGCCTGCTAGTCAGTGTGACCTTATCTGGCTTGGAACTCAAACTTGACATCTTTCACAAACCCCTGGAACTTTATGACTCAGAGGAAAACACAGCCTTCTATGTGACTCCGACAGAGATTTTTCCAGGAAAGACTAATATCTCCCCTCCTTGTCTACACCAAAGTTCTGAGTACTCTCCCTTGCTTATACTTTAGGCAGGAGGTCCCCTTCCAGGCTGGCTGCTTTCCACCATTCTTTGCCCACCTCTCCACTTTGCAGACCCTGGGAGATGTTTATCTTACCCTCTTGCCTCCACTCTGGGGGAAGGCAGCAGGCGGGAGGGGTTCCAGTCAGGCACAAGCGGCTAGAGAATCATTAACTGAGATGAAAGCAGTTCCTTAGTTCCTTATTTTTTAGGGGAGATAATAGCTGGGGGGATGGGGGAATTCACCATGGTTTCTCAACTGCAGGCAGCCAGACCATAGAGATAACCACTTACTGTGCACCACTTTTGTGGTGAGTGCTTTATGTTTATTAGCTGAATAATGACAATGATTATCCCTCACAAGATAGATATCTGCATTTGACAGACAAGGAAAGTGAGGCTCAGACAGGTTGAGTTACTCACCCAAGAGTACCTAGCTGACACGTGGGTCACCTGGCTTCAGTGTTGACCATCTGAATCCAAAATCCATCTTTTTTCTGAGCTGGTTCATGCATTCATCCAAAAAGTCTTTGTGGAACACCTACTCTGGACTGGGCTATACCAGGACCTGAAGATACAGCAGCAAACAGCTAAAAAACAATCCTTTTCCATCAGGAGCTTTCATTCCAGTGGCACCATCTTTCCTAGACAGAGTTTCTAAGGAAGGAATGGGGTTGGCAACTGGCCTGAAGTTCAGCTCTCCTTCAGTGTTGCTGCCAGCTCGGAGTGTGGGCAATGGAAAGAGCACTGCGTGGGGAGCAGATGTGCCCTCTCAGTGCCTCTCTGTCATCTCAGTCTGGGAGTGGGGTAGAACTGGATACTGAGCTCCCTGGCCTGGCCCCACTGGCAGCACCTGGGAGCTTCTTAGAGATACAGAAGCTCAGGCCCCACCCCCGACTTATGGGGCAAGAACCCACATTTTAACAAGATGCTTAGGTGGTTCCTGTGCACACTATAGTCTGAGAGGCTCTGGTTAAGATTCCCTCCTCTTATCTTCTGCCATTTCAATAGCCTCTGGCAGGGGAGAGTCGCTCACCAGCAGAGGGCACTGTTGGGAGGGCGTTCTCCTGTTCCCCGGGGCTGCACCTGTACCCAGGTTGTCTCCTCTCTGTCCCTGCCCTTCCATACCTGAGCTGGCAAGTTCACTGACTTCTGGGATCCTTGGCTACTCCCCTACCTTGGTTGAACTTTGCCAACAAACAGGGACACACTTCCTCACTCCACTGTGGGGTGGCTGGGAGGAGGACTCTGCCGAGAAGCACCGGGCCACTCCTGTCTGATTCCCCGCCCACCTGCACTGGCCTGCTGGCCTGGTGACAGGGTCTGGCTGACCTCTCTTTTTCTCAGAGAAGAAACTACTGTTCCCAAATAAGCTGGCAGCCTCTGGGAACACCTGCATGGTAAGGTGAGCACGCTCCTGGGGCAGCGGGGGTTGGGGCGGGCATTGTGATGGGGCCACCTGGGGCTTACAGGAGGAGTCAGGCTAGCTCAGCCAAGCCTGCCAGAGAGAGGAGACCCTGTGCTGGAGGAGAGGAAGAGGGGCTTGGGAGATGGCCGCTGCCCAGTGGATGTGAGGACCAGGGGTATATTTCTATGCACCATGGACATGTATGCTAAAGAATGCTGCCTATGAATGAGGTTTAGACTCATCCATCTTGGTACTTTTTATGTCCTTCAATAACTGGAGATCTATCAGGGCTGAGTAGGCGCAGTAAGAACCAGTGATGTGGGAGATGAGTTGAGAGTTTCCTCATAGGAGATGAGAAGAGCTTTGCAGCAGGAGCCTGAATCTTTGTGCTAGAGGAGGTGACTGCATAGGGACAGGTAATGGCAGCATTCCAAAGGACCCTTCTCTTAGGAACTGGGGTCTGACACACTGGAGGCGTGGGTAATAAGGAGTCAGGCATGGGGTTCGGAAGCTCCAGGCTACACTGAGCTAGTGGCTATGCTATCCATTCAGGACCCTCCTGGGGCAAGGGGGAGGGTGGAGTGAGGGCCGAGGCCGCCTGGAGGGAACAACTGTCAGCCTGGGAGAACGGCGGGGGGCGGGGCGGGGGAGCAGTTGACCTGCTCTGGGCCAGGCAGTGAATGGGATCCATGTGAGAACCCCAGGGGGGCTTTGGGGAGCAGTACATACCAACTGCTCCAGGTTGGGAGGCTGGGCAGGGCCCCCGCTGTGCCACAATGAGTTGGAAGGGATTTGGACTCTGGTCTTTGGAGCCCAGGGAAGGTGGTTGCTATAAAATGAGAGTGGAGCCACGCCTTTCTTTCACATTGGCTGGCCCGTTTCTGCCGCTGGCGCCTTGGTGGGCAGGGGGTGGGGGGTTGTTTCTCACTGTGGAACCAAGGCTGTGCTTTAGTTTCTTCTATTTATTTTTACTTTATTTTTGCTTCATTCTCATTCAACTTAATTTCTACTAAAAGTGGAAAAGTAGAGACTTGGGGAAAAACAAGGGGCAGGAAGAGAAAGGGAGTGTTTCTAGAAGTCCTCGTCATCCTGCTCATTCTCCCTTCTGTCTTCAGTTGTGGCTTAATAATCTCCCAGCTGTCCTTACTCTGGGGAGAAAAGTTGGCTTTTTTATCTGTGATATGGAAATAAAAAATAACACCTAGCTTATAAGGCTGCAGTGAGGGTCAAATGAGAGAGGCCACGCAGAGCTCTTCAACACTGTGGTGCCGAGTAAAGCCGCGTAAATGTTAGTTCTTATTATTACAGTTATAGTTCCAGTTATCTTTAATGTGTAAAAATCCAAGTGCATGGATGGGATGTAAAGGGAAGCTTCTCATATCCTTCAGCCCCATTCCCATCATATGTAGGGCATTGCCAACTCACTTGCCAACTTGTGGGGCAAGGCCTCAGCTTCCCGTGGGTGGTCTGAGTGAAGGGTGTGGGGAGCAATGGATGTCAGACCCTTATGAATCAACCATAGAGTGAATGAGTCTCATTCCCCTAGAAGCTTCTCGAGAGCCATATAAGATGCCACCTTTGGCAAGACTAAACCTCTCTCAGTGTCCGGTACACAGCTGGTCCTCATAAAATGTTCTTTTGAAGGGGAAGTCCACATGTGACTACTTTTAATCAAGAGTTACTGAGTATGATGGCATGGCAGCAGAGAGAGACTTTGGAGACAGAAGGCTGTGGAGAGCTGGAGAGCCGGGGTGTGGGTGGGGCTTTATTGAGCAGGAGGGGTCCAGGTAAGGAGAAAAGGCAGGTGAGAAGCACAGGTGAGGGGTGAAAGACAGCAGTATGAGCAAAAGCCAGAGGCAAGAATTAGTGAGAGGTGAGGAGCTCAGTCTGGCTAGAGTGGAGAGAATTGGAAATCAAGGGAGAGAGAGGGAAAGCAGGAGGGAGAGGCAGTAGCTTTTGGAGGGCCTCAGGAAGAGCTAACATGTGTGCAGGAGGCTGCTGGGAGGCCCAGGTCCCAGCCTAAGGCCCCTGCCGCCAGTGGGTAGCTGGGTACTCAGGTGAGCAGGTGGTCAGTTTATGCTTTTGCCCTCCTTCATTCCAGGCTCACTGGAGGCCCCCACCTTTGTTTTTCTCTTTCTGCTTTCACTTTAACTTTTGTTACTCCTGTATATTCACGTATCCCTGTGGGCTCCCTTCTGACCTTTCCAGCAGAAGGAGGGGCATAAATAAACAAGCAAATTTGGATAGGGCTTTGTCACCTACAAATACTTTTCACATGATCTCATGCCATCTTCGGAATCATTCTGAAAGGTAAATTTTCCCACTTGTAATAGCTTTTAAAAAGACTTGCAGAGTTAATATAAAATACATACCTAGGTTAAAAATTCAAAAGATAAAGATAAAAAAAAGTTTAAAAAAGTTGCTTTACACCTTTCACCCTCTTAATTTCTCATCTCTTTCAGCAATGACCACTGGAAATAGGTTAGGGTATATCCTTTCAGACCTGTACGTCCAAGACAGGAATCACTAGTGCATGTGGCTACTGAGCACTTAAAACAGAGCAAGTCCCAGTTGTGATGTGCTGCAAGTGTGAAGTACACATGGAGTCCAAACAGTTACTGGGAAAAGGAATGTAAAATATCTCATTGATAATTTTATATTGATTACCTGTCACAATAATACTATTTTGAATATATTTGGTAAAATATATTATTAAGATTAATTTCTCCTTTTTTAACCTGTTTAATATGGCTGCTAGAAAGTTTAAACTTACATATGTGGCTCACATTGTATTTTCATTGCACAGCACTACTCTAGACCTTTCTCTGTAATTTATATCTGGGGTTGACAAAAGCATGTTTACAGCTGTGAGTATGCAAAACAGCTTATTCTTGTATTATTTATTTGTTGATTATTGTATGGCTTATTTGTGTTATGTAAACCTACTTGTGCCCACCCCTGTACGCACACTTATAAATATGTATCTGTACATGTATACAGTTTTATTATTTACATTAATGAGATCAGAGGATATCTAGCGCTCTGTGAATTGCTTTTCCACCGAAAGACTTTTTTCTATATCGGCACGTGTAAATCAAGGTAGATATCTTGACAGATGAGGAATCTGAGGTCCATTAAGGGACATGACAAGCACACTCAGCCAGTGACCAAGGTGACATTTGAACTCACATCCTCTAGACCCAAGCTCTTTCTGCCTCAGGGGAGTTTAATTTGCTGTTTAGGTCACGAGGAGCTATGGTAGATTCTTGAGTAAGAGAGAGATAGGTAAAGTTCTGTTAAAGGAATTCATCTTTCTGTTAAAGGCTGGGTGTTTGTGGTGCACTGGAAAAAAGGCAATTCACTCTCTCATTGCAGTCATTTGGAAGCCAAGTCTTGGCCTCTACGACATTGAAAAGGCTTAGCCTGGCACTGACTCCCTTGCCCCTCCTGCCCTGGGCCTTGGCTGTTGCAGGCGTGCAGGGGAGCTGGCTGCATCCATTGACCAGGCAGATGTGCTTCCATCAGAGTTCCTTCCAACCTGCCCAGTTCCTACTGCTGGTGGGGTTTCTGGTGGCAAGCGTCTTCCTTCTGGTCCAGTGCCTTCAACGGCATTGTCCTCGCTGGATGCTGTGGGCCTTCTGGAAGCCGGATAGCCAAGAGGAGACAGTGGCTGACCCTCTGCCCCCACCAGAAAATGAATCCTCAAGGCCGTGCCCACCAGTCACCCTGTCGGAGATGGCTGCCTTCTACCAGGAACTGCACACGCCCACCAAGGGCCACACCATCATCCGGCAGCTGATGCACAAGCTATTGGTATTTTCATCTCGAGAGGTGGATCACCGTGGCGGCTGCCTGATACTCAAGGACACGGGCATCTCTCTGCTCATCCCACCAGGTAAGAGCGCCCCAGCTTGCTTCTCAACATGTAGTTGTTCAGATTGAGTGTTGTACATTGAAGGATGCATCATTCACAGACATCTTCCTAATTTTGAAAATTATTTATATTTTTAATATGACTTTATTGACTCCAAAGATGGATATGTTATATATTTTCGTGACAACTTCCTGTCAGGTGGAAGTAAAGTGCCTTGTTCTAATGAACCGTATGACAATCCTCCGATAAAGGAAAATAAAGTGGAGGAAGGACTTTTTTTTTTGGCAAATTCACACAGGCTCTTTATGGGCTAGTGGCAGCACTGTAAGAAAGGCAAGTGACTTGTAAGCTCACAGTCATCTTGATTTCCATCTGTACTGCCTTCCTGTAGGGGCACCCTCTCCCCTGGGCTCCTGCCTCTCCTCTGCCCCTCCCGTTCTGGCCTGGCCTCCCCAGGGGCAGGATGTACCTGCTTGTCAGGCCCTTCTCAGCTCTCCCTCTCCCCAGGTGCTGTGGCTGTGGGCCGCCAGGAGCGGGTGTCACTGATACTGGTGTGGGACCTGTCAGATGCTCCATCATTGTCCCAAGCCCAGGCGCTAGTGAGCCCTGTGGTGGCATGTGGACCCCATGGGGCCTCCTTCCTGAAGCCCTGCACTCTCACCTTCAAGCACTGTGCGCAGCAGCCCAGCCACGCCCGCACCTACAGCAGCAACACGAACCTGCTTGATACCAAGGCCTGGAAGCCCCTTGGGCAGTCAGGGGTCCACACCTCCCTGGATGAGTGTCGCATCAACCTGTCCCACTTCAGGTAGGCACAAGCCTAGTGGCCTGTCCTTTCTGTCCCCCCCTTTCTTCTGTCTGCCCCATCCTTATTTCTCTGTATGGATCTGCCCCTTTATCTGTTCCAGGTGGCCTGTAGATCCCTTATGCCGCTGTGTCTCTTCCTGGTCTCACTGTCCTAGAGTTTCTGACAGATTATGTTTCTCCAACGCTGTCCAGGACTGCATACCCCTCATGGCCTTTGCCAGTCTAGAAGGGTCTGACTTACCCCCAGCCCTCTTTCTGGAGGGGCCCTGTCTTATCCCCATCTTTGTCTCTCTAAGATTGTCTGTCTATGCCTTGTGCCCCGTTCAGGATTATCCCCTAACTGTCTAGGGCAGTTTATCTCCTCCAGTGCTCTAAGAAGCCATCCCACTTCTTGCCTGTCTTTAGCTCTATTTTTCTAGGGTCTTAGGCCCTTCCTCGTCTGATTTCCTTGCCACCCATTGACCAGAGCAGGACCAGCCATCTCTAGCACCCTTCTGAAGCATGGTGGCCCTGAGCTCGCCTTCCCGCTGTCGTATGCTGGAGGATATTTGCTGCCCTTCTCTACACTCTGTGATGGTCACTGAATGTGATTCACTTTTTGTCCCCCTACCAACTGCCCACCCCCACTTCCTCCCTATACATGCCCTGGCCTGCTCTCCCCAGCTCCTTGAAGGCCCACACAGAAGCCTCTGGCACAAAAGGAGCTGGGTGGCCAATGTACTGGTCTCTGTCACTGTCTCCCATCTACTCTGCAGCCTCTACACCTGTGTGCTGGAGGCACCGGCAGGCCGTGAAGCTCGGAAGTGGCTGCAGCTGGCGGTGTTCTGCTCACCGCTGGCACCGGGGCAGACCCACGTGCAGCTGCGTGTCTACTTCCTCAACAACACGCCCTGTGCCCTGCAGTGGGCCCTGACCAATGAGCAGCCCCACGGCGGGCGCCTGCGTGGGCCGTGCCAGCTCTTCGACTTCACTGGGGCCCGAGGGGACCAGTATCTAAAGCTCAAGTACATCTCCGAGGGTGAGGGAGGCCGGGGGACAGGGCAATAGGGAGTCCCACTAGAGGGAGGGGTCTGGGTCTTCCACTGGGGTGGAATTATGGGAGCTGCAGGTTCCTTTCAGAGACTCCTGGGCAGACTCCAAGGGGAGCCCTCCGGCTTCTGCTGCTGCCTCCAGGGGCCCCAGGCCCTGCCCACTTTCTCCCTCTATGGCTCCCTCAGCCCTGCTTCCTCCATGGGAGCACAGGGTGAGGCAGAGTGGGAGGAGGGGAGGAGAGGCGTGGCATCCTCAGGAGGGAGGGAGATGCTTTTATTGTTCCACCTGGATGGAGCTTGTGTGGAGGAGGAGTCCCGGTCTTCCCTGCTTGGGCTCTTTCCTGTGTGGCATAGGCTGTGTGAATTGCCCCTGGGACCTAGGGCATCTGTATGGGCACACATGCATGGTGCTTCTGGGGGCAGTGGATGAGGGGGATTGGAGGGGAGGGTGCAAGGACAGGGGGTCTGTGTGCTCTGTGTGTGTAGGAAGTCTGTGGGGGTAGAAGGAAGACTGCTCACAGTGTCTCCAGCCCAGGCTCTGGGGACTCCCATTCACTGGAGACCCCCCTCTTTGCTCTCTCCTTATTCCTCAGCACAGCACCCTGCATAGTACCTGCCACAGAGCAGGTTTCTTTAAACTCCATGGAAGGCCCTGCTCTCTGAGACTCTCTGCTCTCTGTCCCCTAACCAGGTTGGGAGAATGTGGATGACAGCAGTTGCCAGCTGGTTCCCCATCTTCACATCTGGCATGGAAAGTGCCCTTTCCGCTCATTCTGCTTCCGGAGAAAAGCAGGTAGTCTAGGTACCTGAGTCTGCTTCCTGACCTCTTCTGTCCTCTCCCTATCTGGTCTCTCTGGAGCTCTGCAGCTCCGCGTTTGGCCATGCACACAGACCTGTTCAAGGAGAGGAGCTACAACAGGTCTTTGGAGAGAGAAAGAAGGAATGGCCTGCCCAGCTTCAGATTTCCAAAGCCTCACTGTAGAGTCCCTTTCAGGTCTCCTGCTCTCTTATGCCAGGCCTCTTCCTTTGTCATCTGCCATGTTCTCTCCTTTTTGTAGCCAATGAGAACGAGGACTGCTCAGCGCTAACCAATGAGATCATCGTCACCATGCACACCTTCCAAGATGTGAGTTGGAGCTGAGGGCAAAGGAAGGTCAGGGCCTGGGAAAAGTGCTGGGCAAAGTGGGAGAGGGGTCTATTGCCCTGTAAGTATGGCCCTAATCACATAATCAAGCAGGTGAAGGTGGCACCTGGCCTCTAAGTTATTCCCCAATCTTGACTCTTGTCTGTTCATGGATGAATCCAGTAGGAGGGTAAAAGAACCAAAACTTTTCTCAAACCAGGGGAACTTGGGCATCAAAGGGAAGTGTTTTTTTTTTTTTTCTAGGCTGACTGTCTACATCTGAGAGATGATGTGTGTATCTTCAGCATGGACAGTGGCCAGGAAGGGGTCTTCAGTAGGTGGGATGGGAGTTAGGTATCCCACTCTCTCAATGGGAGAAATAAAGAAACCAGGGTTGAGAATCTTCAGGGAACCATGGTGGCATCTTAGTGGAGAGCAGGCAGATACTCCTCAGGGGTGTCAGCTGGGGAAGAAGAATCAGGAAAGGAGGACTGGAAGGAGGGGTACAGGTATGCCTGAGTTCAGTGTCCCAGGACCCCACCCACGACTTCTCCTGGTGTGTTAGGATGCATTCTATTTGGTCTTTATGTCCCAGGTCCCAAAAAACTCAGTACACAAACTTAAGGCTGAAGGTTCGGGGGTTAGAGAAGCAGAGGGTCAGGGTCCTGCATGGGTAGGGCTGCATCTACTGGTAAAGTGGCTCTGAGTGACAGCCTGAGGGACAACATGAGAAATGGAGGTAGGTTCCTCAGCTTCGTGCTTGGGAGATGTCTTCTGATCCCTAAGTGGGTCCCTGGCCTCTCTGTTGGTGCAGGGCTTAGAGACCAAGTACATGGAAATCCTCAGATTCCAGGCATCAGAGGAGGAATCCTGGGCAGTGCCACCCGCTGTCTCCCAGCCACCCGCATGCAATAGGTGAGGTGGGGGTCACTTTGGGCTGCTGCCTGCAGGGTGTTTGGGATTCCCTCCCCAGTACCCATGGCCTTTGGGAGTGTGTAAAACCAGACTGGGTGCCTTTGATCCTCTCCTATGAGAACACCCTATCCCCGTGCCTCAGGTTGCCTCCCGAGCTCTTTGAGCAGCTGCAGATGTTGTTGGAGCCGAACAGCATCACCGGCAATGACTGGCGGAGACTGGCCACCCACCTGGGGCTCTGTGGCATGAAGATCCGGTAAGAAGGACCAGAGAGGAGTAGGGGTTCTTAGGATGCCAGATAAGGGAGCAACGTACAAGGCAAAGAATGGGTACTCTCACCCTGTTGCCCATAAAAGTGCAGCTCTTCGTCTTTACCAGTGTATTCTCAGTACCTAGAATGATGCCTAGCTCCTAGTAGGTGCTAAATAAAAACTTAAATATGAATCAATTAACATGTAAGTTACATATGAATGCTTAACATGCTGTTCCCTGAGGTGTAGACTGGTAGACTGTAAGATAATGTGCGTAAGGCATGTAGCTGAATGCCTGGCACATGTGAAGAAGTGTTGGCAACAATGGGGGCAATGCTGCCATGGTCTCTGTCAAGAGAAACTCGTAGAACAATTTTGAGCTAAGGCCCAGAGCCCAGACAGTGAGTGCAGTGCTCAGGGAAGACTTTACCCACAAGATGGGACTAGAGCTGGGCCCAGCTGAAAACAGGGTGGATTTTAAAATCACCCATTTATTAAACATTTATGAAGTACCTACTATGTCCTGGAAAACTATGCTAAGCTTTGGGACACACGATGAATGGTCCTATCCCCCAGGAGCACACACTTGAATAAGGGCTACAAAGAGCTTAACAAAATAAAGGCAAGTGTTCCTTGTGCCTTATCGCATGTATCCTATATTGCAGAGCAAGTTGAAAACAGAGGCACAACATAGCTAAAGGAAGTTGTGAGTGCAGAATGGTCTCCTTCCCCTGGGAGGTGGGAAGGGAGGTTGGCCATTCTATCTGGTGGGAGTAGCAAGAGTTCCCTGGCAGGCTGCAAAGTGGTAAATGGCTACCCTGAAGAAGGAAGGTTCAGCATGGAAGCAGGAAAAAAAGGTCAGAAAAAAACAGGGCAAGGCCAAGTGGTGGATAAGGGGGAAAATCAGGGGTGTGGGCTTGGTTAGCAGGCAAAAGAGGCTCTGGAAGGTTTTCGAGCAGGGGAGAGTCTTGGTAAAAGCCATGGTTTAGAACAACAGTTTCCCCAGTGGTGAGCAGGATGTTGTGGCCTGGGAGAGAGGAAGGAGGAGAGGTGAGGGTGTTGAGGAGCGGGGGCGGGAGGGGGGGGGGGGATTGGAGGTAGAGAGGACAATTACAGGAGATCAGAGCTGGAGGCCACCTCCGAGTTCCTCTCATCCAAGCCCTCAGTGTAAGAAGAGGAAACTGAGGCTTAGAGACGAGTGACCTTTGAGCCAGGGCAACCGCAGAATTCAAAGTCCTCGGAACTTCTCCCTCTCCCGCCACCCTGGGTACCCTGGAAGCCAAAGAGAGCAGGATGAGGACCAGAGCTGGGGGAGGAATGTGGATCTCACTGCAGTGCCCCTGGCTCCCCCCTCTCCTCCCACACCTGTGGCCAGGTTCCTGTCCTGCCAACGCAGCCCCGCGGCAGCCATCCTGGAGCTGTTTGAGGAGCAGAACGGGAGCCTGCAGGAGCTGCACTACCTCATGACCCTCATGGAGCGGCTGGACTGCGCCTCGGTCATCCAGAACTACCTGAACCGGACGCGCGGCGGTAGCCCAGCCCCCGTGCGCGGGGGCGCCTGGGAGAACCAGGGCCTGGAGCTGGAGCAGGAGCTAGAGCAGGAGCTGGATGAGAAGCTCTGAGTCTTACCCCCACGTCGGGGAGCGGGCAGGGTGCGGTACGGTCCGCAGCACTCTAGGAACTGGGGTGCGCCCAGATACCTAGGAAGAACATAGCAGCTGTTCCTAGCTGTGCTCACCGACCTCATCAAAACCCCCAGACTGTGCCTGGGGCCACTGTGAGGCTGTGACCTGCTTTGTACTGCGTGCAGATCCGCTCCTGGACAGCAGGGGGCTCAGGAGCCCAGGAGATGGTCGCGTGCGGCCGGGCTCTGGGAAGCTCTATTAGTAGATCAACGGACTGCTAGGCTGCGGTGGACAGGTCAGTCCGCAGTGTTCACCAAGCACTTAGTGATACCCAGAATTGGACTGGGTATCATGCAGAATCCTGCAATATATGAGAGAATTTGGAGACTTAACAAGACCACAGTTCTCCTGTGGGAGTCAAGATGGGCTCATAGGAACTGAGGGAAAACTCTAAAACAATGCAAACAGGTTGGGGGAAAAGTAGGTTTACAGTTGTGAGTAGAGGAAGAGTTTATTCTTATATTATTATTTATTAATTATTGTATTGTTTTCCATAGAAACAGCTGTAAACCCAACTTTGCCCCACCTTGTATATCCTGTGGTTAGGAGATGTGGGAGTGGAATTAACTGTACTGCTTTAGGAGTTGAGAAGAGAGGGAGCTGAGTATGGGCTGGAGCAGTGAGGATGCAAAAAGTGATTCAGAGATCTTTAGGTGGGGGTGGGGGAGATGGTGACTATACTGAGGGTAGGAGCCAAGAGTGAGTGCTGAGGCATTAAAGAGCTTGGCCTTGTGGGTGTGAGGGGTTCAAGGCAGATCTATCGTACTCAGCTGTCCACCTGTCTCCTTTGCTTTCCTTTGTCTCTTTGTCCCTTGCCTTGTCTTTTTCTCTCTGTCATTATGTCTGTTATAAAACATCAAAGCTGAAAAGAAACTTCAAGATTATCATTCTTGCCCAACTTTTTATGTCTTTATTTCAAAATGTGAGTTTTAAGTCTCTGTGACTTCATTTTGCTGTCACCGTCTCCTGCAGACCTTCATCCCCGAATCTGTCTCTCTGTTACACTGTGTCTTAGCATCTTTTTCTCTACCTTGTTACTGCACCTGACTTTGTGTGTTTCATTCTCTGAAACCTTCAGTCATTCCCCTTAGGCAAGTGTCTCTAAACCAATGTTATATATCAAGGGCTATTGAAGGATACGGGGCTACCCTAAGAATGGATGGGTGGGGATTTCACCTTATGAATCAAGATCTGGTTTAGGGTCAGGAAATAAAGAATAGGGATTAAAGAACACTCCCCTCCGCCCTCTCCCCCTGTCAGACAAATGTTTTATTCAGCACCTATTATGTATTAGACACTATATAAAAAAGAGATTGATACGTGGGTCCTGAATAGAGAACAAAGGGTTTGACTCAACTCTAGCAATTCTTTTGTTTGCAAACAGGTGTTAATTTTTTCAAGGGCATGAGAACAATCTCTTTGGCAACATTTCCTTCTGTATTTAATTTAAAAACATTAAATCTTTTTCTATGATGAGCAATGTTGTAAAATAAAATATGCAAATTTCCTTTCTTTGTTACTAGCTGTATTTTGCTCAGACTGATACATTTATTTGGTTGTGGGTATAAATGGTTTTATTTGGTAAAATTGTACTAAGAGGGGCAGATTGGAGGAAGCATTTTGTAGATTGTTCTTCCGGTTTGATAATTGTCAGGATCCAGCATGGTAAATCAGGGAGGTTCACTTTTCTTTCTGTTGGAAACATCAGGAAAAAAAGATGGGGAATCTTCCATCATTTCCCTCTTCCCTTAGCTCATCCATCCTCCCCCACCCTCCCCATTAGCCCTCCCACCCCACCAGGGGCTGCCAGCCACTCCAGGTTGGTACCTCGGCCTCCTCCTCCTGCACTTGGCTCAGGATCATTCTGCTATGAGCATTTTTTTCCCTTAGAATCTCAACACAGTTTTCCCCCTTCTCCAATCTTTTCCTTGCTTTCTACACCAGCTAAAAGCATATTTATTTTGTGTTCTTCCTTCCTCTGAAAGAGATCATTTTGAGTTTCGAGTCTTCTGGAAATGTGAACAAAGGCCAGGAGGGTTTCTGTAATGGGACTAATGTCTTCTGGCCCCTCCCCACCCTAATTCCTCAGAAGGGCCTGGGAGCAGAAGTGCTGGGTAAGAGAGGCTTGGAAATCTTGGGGTTGGTGGCAGGCAGCCTGATCCCTGTATGGTGGATTCTGCCTTTCCCAAATTAAACCCAATTTGCATGTATCTGCTGTCACCTAATGCCGAGACATGTTCTGGGGACATTAGGAGACTTAGTGCTCAGCCCTGGTTATAGCACTAATTAGAACAGCTCTCATTCTCTGGCTTCAGTATCTTTACTCTTAGAATGAATCAACCATGTTCCAGCCTCTCCAAGGATCTTCTTTTGAATTCATAGGCTTGTGCAGAGATGGCACACTGGTGACCCAGGGGACATACACTTGGGGATTTTTGTTTGCATATGGCCTTTAAATAGAGCAATTGGCCACTGCCTGTGGCCTTACCTCCAGCCCTTTCTTGATAGATTATTGTCACGAGCACAGGCTGGTGATATAGCCTTTCCTGTAAGTCAGCTGGGCAACTGCTGGGCTGGCTGGCTGCTGAGCAGTGCAGCACCAAGGAATAGACAAGAGTCACACATGGTAACTATGCTATTCACTCAGCTTTTATTGAATGAAGGTTCACTCAAATTAGAATATCAACATACATTAATATTCTATTCACACTCTAATAATCTAAGAGAATTATAACACACACAGCAATGAATGGGGGATAAGGAACCTGAGTCCCAGAGTCTCATTCTGCAGGTCTAGGAGACAGCACAGTGGGCAAAGGAGTAGTCAGTGTCTTGCAAAGAAGGATCTCTGGAGCCAAGTAGGCAGCAGGGCAGAGTCTCCAGCAGCCAATGCCAAGGGAGATGAGCGTGGCATGGAGCAGCACTCTGGTGTGTGGAGTTCGGCTGTCTCAGCAGTGGTCTGGAGCTAGCCTGTTATACCTTGAAAGTGGTGAACTCCACCTTTCTGGGTCATTTTGATAAATGTCTTGGCACGTCAGATGCTAAGTGTGGAATTTCTCTAGAAGCCTATCTGTGGGTGGTCCCACTCTGCAGACACTGCTGTTCTGATTACATGTGCAGAAATCTTGGGTGTGTCTCCTTGCCACATGTGTCTAGCATGACTTAGGTAGTTTCCCTCTTGAACCAAAGTGTTATGGTTGACTGGCAGCCATCTTGGTTGACATGAGTGACTTCATTTTGTTTTATATACTTTATGCTATCTTGATTGGACCAATGCCATTTTATTGGTCCTGCTCTCTACAGTTATCTGCCTAGTCCCTAAAAACACTAAATTTGTGACTTCTGCTTTTATGCGTGTTGTAGAAGCCCATGCCTAAACTTCTTCCTGTTAGTTTTAGAGCTGGGAGGGGAATGAGCAGGAGAGGTCAGGTCTTTAAGGTTAGAGACTTCAGTGCTCAGAGGTAACATGTGTCCTCAGCACCCTGTTTGCCTGCTGAGTGACATTCATATCGGTGTCCAGATATATGTTGTCTAACAGAAATAGGATGAAAGTCACAGATTGAATTTTATATTTTCTAGTAGTCACCTCAAAAAATGTAAAGAGAAACAGGTGAAGTCAGTTTTAATAATATATCTTATTTAACCTAATATATTCAAAGTATTATAACTTTCACATGTGATCAATAAAAAATTATTAATGGAACATTATACATTCTTTTTTTCCTAAAGTATTTGGAATTTGGTATGTATTTGACAATTATAGCACATCTCAATTAATACTGAAAGTGTGCTAAATTTCTGTTAGAAATATTTGATCAGTATTTAGCTTTTATAAAATTTATAGCAGAAAAAGTACATGTACATATACAAGTTAAGCTAAAAGTGTTCCAAAAATGAAATTAGGTATACATTTAAAAATTCAAATCAATTGAAATGAAGTAAAAATGCAGTTCCTTAGTTGTACTGGCTACAATTCAAATGTCCTGTAACAGAGAGCACAGGTATGGATTATGGATCCAGCTGGGCATAACTTTATAGTGTGCTTGACTTTAATTCATTAATTCATCAAATATTTGCTTGAGCACCCATCTTTCACAAAGTGTTGGTGCTAAAAATTCAACAAAGAAAAGCATTTTTATTTTGTAGGAGCTTCTGGAATGGTGGCGATCGAGAGAAGGGCACTTTTCTTCCATCCCTCTCCACACCTGACACAAGAAGTGAATGGATGGGACTCAGACAGACCCCCTCTGCTGTAGGAATGGGGCACACAGCAGTGTGATGGCGAGGCCAGGGATTCAGTCATGTGGTTCTGGTCATCTGGCACATCAGGTGGGTTCTTGGCTGCTGACAACAGCCAAGAATTCACTCTGGCTGGTTGAGGCAGTCAGAGGATTTTACTCTGAAGGATAAATAATAATTTGGAAGACTGAGAAATAAAATTAAGGTAATGTTTCTAGCAATGGTGCCCTAAACTGTGCTGTAGGACTAGCCCAAGCCGGAGAACCTGGTATTACTATGACTGCAGCTAATGAGCACTAGATCTCAGAAACTGCAGGTGCTCCTGCCCTACCACTGCCACTTCTGAGTTGGGAACCAGATCTCACCACTGCCTCTGGAAGCTGAGGCCTCTTCTCCATCCATATCAGCAAACATGGAAACTCCATGCACTCTACTACTTGCTTCTTCATGCTACCCATTTCTGTATCAATCTCAAGTATGGGCATCAATCAGATTGGCAGCACCTTGACTGAATACCGAATCCTAGCTGCAAAGGAGTTTGGAAATTTGAACTCTGACTTGAATATTGGGCAGGTGGGATTCATTACATGCAAATGTTCCCAAATGTGGAAAAAATATCCAGAAGTTGATGGACAGGCATGAACATGATAGATTTCCATTATAGCCGGGGGTAGTTAATGCTGTGGCGCTAGGCAGCA